GTGGATTTGTTGGCGTTTTCCTCTATAATAATAACAATGATAGTAAGGTCTAGACTTTACTTTGTAAAGTGTCTTAAGATTACTTTTTTGTGATTGGGAAATTACCAATAAAATGTAATTAAATTACTGCTGTCTACAACTATCATTGCAGTTCATTTCTGTGCTCTCTTTGAACACCTATTCCTGCTTTTTTCCCAGGTCACTAGCGTGTTGCATAGAGGTGACAGCCTCTCCAATCAAACCCTTAGTACGTGTTGGTTTGAAAGGGGAATCAGTGATGACCTGCTTTTCCTGGTTTGTCAGGCTGGAGAGATTCAGCCACAGAGATCTCTTTCCGGCTACAGCCAGGCCCATGACACAGCCACACGCCTCTTGGAGGATGATGTCCGTGTTGATGCATATTTCCTCCTAAATGGTTGACCTCAGAGCCAACAGATGGCCCATTTCCTGGGACAGCTTGGCCTGATATGTTGAAAACAGCCTGACCACGTTTAGGTTTTTAATAGACTAGGCGGCTGATTTGCATACCTTCTGGTACATTCATGCAGTGATGTGCTCCATCTTGTCTGGGAGGTCGGGCCCTCGATGAGGCTAGGGTGGAATGGCAGTTGGGATGGAAATGATAACCTACAAACTATTCTACTACTGGGGGGTCAGCGAGCTCCAGAAGCTTATTATTTGTGATCTCCAGGCCAGAGTAGCCCTTGGTGGTGACCCTGTGTCTGAACAGCTTAACCCAGTCACAGCAAAGTCTCTTATGCATTGGGGGCTGTCCTGCACTGGCACTGGTAGCTCCTGGGTGGCTGGTAGAGAGGGGTGGGTGGGTCCTGCTGCAAGGGAGCGTGCAAGTGCAGGGTCAGACCTCTCTAGGCTGTACAGGAACCCCCACCTGTGCTCCTTCATGCACACTGGGATAGCAAGCTGTCTTTGCTGACACGCCTCTGCAACGTCGCATGGCGGTGAGGGACAGTGCCTCTGGACTGGCAGACCGGGGTGGTGGTCCCTCTTTTTAAGAAGGGGGACCGGAGGGTGTGTTCCAACTATAGGGGGATCACA